TATTTAGCCAATGGCGCCCGAGGGGGGGGGGGGGGGGGATGAGGTGAGGATGCAACAAGGAACCAGCGAGTTGTGGCACGAAGGAGGGTAGGATCGACCCAGATGGCAGTGCAGCCCGAGGACGCGTTTCGCAAAGGGAAAAAGGGGCGGAGAATGCCAGATGAATCAGGCAACAACACTAAATCGGTGTGTGTACGATCGCCCACCCACCTCTGATATCCGTTTCCTCCGACTCCTCGCAAGAGGCTGCGCAGAGGGACAGAAGGAAAATGCACGATCGGGATCAAATCCTGTCAAGCGTGCACACACACGAAACAAAGCGCGCGCCCACACACACGCACACAGAGAGAGAGAGATAAAAAAAAGCGCGCGCGCGCCGATCGTCCACACACACACACACACACACACACACACACACACACACACACACACGAGTAGCGCTTAACACATATAAGCCGCAGCAAACACACACAGAGCAAAGTAAAGGTCCGCTACTGATGCATGGAATGTGACATTCAACGTGGGTGATGTGTGTTATTGTTGTGTGTTGTTGTGTTGGATGAGTGTGTGTGTGGGGGTGTTGTGGCAACAGGTCAGTATGTCTCTGTCCTCTGTCTCTGTCTCTGTCCAGTTCTCTGTCTCTCTGTCTGTGTCTCTGTCCCTGAGTAGCTGTCTCTGTCTGTCTCTGGCGCCGTTTCCATCTCGTCTCTGGCGCCGTTTCTGTCTCTCCGTCTCTCCATCCGTCTGCCAATCAATGTCTCTGTTGCTGTATCCCTGTTTGTCTGTGTGTCTCGTCATATCCTTCATATGGGGGACCCCTCCCCTGGCTCGGTTATGGGCTTCGTGTGATGAATGTTATGGTGCGTTGGTATATTTCAAGCTGAAATGCTCATAGAGTGATAGGGATGAGAAGAAAAGAAAAGCATCACCTCATCCGGGTGAACACAATCGATCGCCCAAGTCTGCACAAGACAGGGCAAAGGGCGCGCAGAAATTTGCTATTGATAAAGGGATCAACATCCCCACGAGCACGTTTCATCCCGGTACAAAAAGCTCAAATGCCGAGCTCAAGATGACGGTCGGGCCCGCCATTCGAAAATTACACCAAAATAGACAAAAAAATACCACTGAAATCGCCGATTTATTATACAACAATCGCAACTCCTCCCTCTAAGCATTGAAACCCTCTCAAAAAAGGACCAGGACAACGGACCCACCCATGCAGCTGATCTACAAGGCCGTCCATGACGATACTCTGATCCACCCGACGCCTCTACCGCCGGAAACACCTCCGAGCCAGCTCTTCCATCTCGTTCCAAATGTCGGAGAGCCGAACTTAAGAATCCAGGGGGTTTATGAGCTTGATTACCCACAGTTATGACCACAACGAGAGAGAAAAAAACATGTTGACAACTACTGTTGTGATCGAGACCGCCAGATGCAGATTGCCCCGACAGCGCGCGCCGATCCATTTTGCACACACACACACACTCTCTCTCACTCACTCACACACACGCGCAGACACGTACGTTGACGGGAGACCACTACGTTCACCAGCACCTGCTCTCGTGTCCAGAGGCGTCTTCACTTGACTCAGCAAGCTTCTGTTGTCGGTCCTGCTTGGCCACACGGGGTGCTTGAGTTGGGTCCTCGTCGCGGCTTTGCAGTCATCACACGTGAGCGCCCTTCACCGCAGCCATGACCACCCCCGTGTCCAGCGAGTTTCAGGTGGGTCCGCTCCTGTTTTGCACGCGCCAACCTGCCGTATCAAGGCTCCACGACCGCGCAATACACGGCTAGCCGCGCGTGCGTACCATCTCAGTGGCTGTACTGCCCACGCTTGCCCCTCTCTGCTTTCCTTCTTTTCCAGGCCATCATTCTGGCCGGCGGCCCCGATAGCCGGTGAGTTTGTACGGTCAAGGCCTCGCTGGCCGAATACTCACAGCGTCGACAACAGCCCACACTCACTCACACACCCTTGCACGCGGGTTGGTTGCCTCAGCATGAACCCATTCGGTGGCAAGCCCGGACGTGCCCTGCTTCCCGTTTGCAACCTCCCGCTGATCAGCTACACCGTTGGCATTCTTGAACGCGCCAAGTTTGACGGTCCGTACCCTTATAAACGCTTCGACCCATGGCACATCTATCCCCTGCTATTTCATATTCCAGGAGTGCCACACACAGTCACGCTGTAGGCTCGTTAACAGCAGGCAGCTTACCCTCATTGGGTCGGCCGTTCATCACTGGTTGCTCGCGCTCCTCATCCACCGTTAGACGTCATTGTTGTGGCCCAGAAAGCCGCTGCGCCCCAAATTCTCACACAAATCAAGGAGGTGCTTGGCTTTAAAATCCAGCTGCACATGCACACCATCGAGAACAACAGGTCAGTTGATTCCAATCCCGCTTTTCATCATCGCTCAGGGCCGCGCCTAAGCAACCCTGCTCTCCTCCGTATCAAACCCTGACGCCGTGAACGGCCGATCCACCCTCCTTTCAGCGACAAGGGTACTGCCGATATTCTTCGTGAGCTCAAGGATGTCATCAAGGTTCGGCACATGTCGTTGCGCGGCGCACATGCATCACGGTCCGCATCTCTGTACAGGTCGACGCGCGACCCATCACATCGGTCCTCTTTCATGCGCGTGCACCACTTCACAGAAAGACTTTATGGTCCTGCCCTGTGATCTCGTGACCAATGTCCCAATCTACCAGCTGGCTGACATCCACCGCAAAAACAACGCTTCCGTGAGTCAATGCGGTCCCTTCGCTAGACCCACCCCCTCCAGCTGCACACTGCAGATTCACCCTTGACGCACAAATGCTCGCCCCTCGCCCTGTCCTTTACCACAGGCCACACTTCTTTTTGCTTCCTTCCCTGCAAAGTATGTTGACATCTCTCTCTCTCTCTCTCTGTGTGTGTGTGTCTGTGTGTGTGTCTCTCTGTGTGTCTCTGTCTCTTTGTGTCTCTGTCTCTCTGTCTCTCTGACTCTCTGACTCTGACTCTCTGTCTCTCTGTCTCTCTGTCTCTCTGACTCTGACTCTCTCTCTCTGTCTCTGACTCTCTCTCTCTGTCTCTGACTCTCTGTCTGTCTCTGTCTGTCTCTGTCTGTCTCTGTCTGTCTCTCTCTGTGTGGGCCTGATTCTCCTCACCATGTTGCTCTTGGCATCAGATCGCCCGACGACCATGTGGCAGATCGCAAGCGCCTGCAGCAACACGAGGACCTCAAGGGGTTGACCGATTACGTGGCCTTGGATGCCGAAAGCAACCGCGTCTTGCTTTTCCGCTCGCAGGCCGATCTCTCCGACTCAGGCACCGTCGACCTGCGCCGCCGCCTTCTCCGCGAGCATCCTCAAGTCGTGGTCCGACGTGACCTCCTTGATGCCCATCTTTACATCTTCGACCGCGTACGTCCGATGACGCACACTTTTAACACATCCATACATCCTAAACCAGGCGGTCGACACTCATGCAACTTTCTGCCGTCTCCAGTGGGTACTGGACTTTTTGGTGGCCAACGAGCAAATCTCGCGCATCAAGGGTGATCTTCTCCCGCGCCTCGTGCGCAAACAGTTTAGTGACAAGTACGTGACCCACTTTCTACACCTTGCTGCCAACACAACCGCGCGCTGCGACCAAATGTCAATGTGTTGCTTACGCTCGCTGCGCTTGCTCCCAGGCGCACTGATGATCCCAGTGACGTGTACAACTTCTTGCCGGTACGATCAGACGCATGCTCCTGCACAATCCCAGTTTGGCAGGCCACCTCGAGCTTTTGGCGTATCGCTTATGTGCGCTTGTGTCGCCGGTGCGCTTATGTTTGTGCGCTCGTTAGCCATCACCACTGGCCGGGCTCGACTTGCCTGGCGCCGAGTACGTTTTGAATATCTTGCTGTCATTACTTTTTGTGCTGTTGAGTTGTTGTACATGGCTGAGCAGCAAATTTACACCACTGCGTGCTGATGCTTTGGGCGTACTCTTGCTTGGCCTTATGGCAGGAGTCCCAGTACACGCCCTCCCCGCATCACCTGCTTTGCTCACGTGGTGGCCGCCCATGGTCTGGACAAGGCACAACCCAATGACGACGCCCCCTTGGTAGCTCGGGCCAACACTCGTACTACCTACGCCGAGTTGAATCATGCGGTGCGACGGGTCCCAGTGTCTTCATCTTGTATACCGGGGAAAAACTTGGGGTGCACAGGGAAATGAGAAGAGTCTGAAGGGCATATCGTAGTCTTATGTGCGCCACTGGTTTTCTGGCACACTTTGGTTAGCCCTCATGCCCTAATGTGCCCGTATGACAGCTGCAAATGACCAACAAGTATTTCAAGATGGTTTGCCCTCTCGATGGCACGATGCCGGAGACCATCCACCCCGAGGCCGAGCTCTCGGGCAAGGATACCAAGGTACTGTCTTGGAGTACGTCTTGACGTCTGATTCTTCTGGGCACTGATGGTTCTGCATTGGCGTGGTTTTGTTGGCACAGCTGGGCCCCGAGTGTCGGGTCGGAGCTGGATCCAAGCTGGGCAAGGTGACGGTGAAACGCTCCATGATCGGGCGTCACTGCAAGATTGCTGATTGCGTAAGCCGTATCTGACTTGCTTGCTCTACCCAAGGGCCTGGTTTGACCGAGTTTCAAAGGCTAGCTCTCACGGGGTATCTTGGACCGTTGACTATGTAGTGCAAGCTGACCAACTGCATTGTTATGGACTACGTTGAGATTGCGGAAAATGTGACCTTGACGGTACAATCGTTGTTTTGGAAGGAATGGGTGCGCATGTTTGACGCCGTTGGCTGTGCGGCTCACGTCAAGGCTGGTCTTTACGTGGGGATCGGGGGGCGCGATAGAACTGCGTTGTTGGCAACAACGCACGCATCGGGGCTTTCTCCTCGCTCACCAACTGCAACGTGGGCCCAAAGTACCAAGTGGAAGAGAAAGGTGAGTTTTCTTCGCGCCTTTGGCATTCGGCCAAACTCTCGAGCAATCGCCGGCAGTTGGTATTTGTAGGCTGTGGCTGACACTTGTTGTGGGATGTCTTGTAGTCAAGAGCAAGGACGAATCGTTCGAGGATGATGCCATGGCATTCTTCTGAGCCGTGTATCCCTGACATCCTTTTGGGAGAAAATTTATCTGCATTTGTCTCTCCCCCTGAGATGAGCGTGTCGGAGGTCTCAAAATCGATGCTTTTGACGATGGTGCCTTTCGCGGCTTGTTGCTTCTGAAGTGCGTATGTGGACCTGATGTGCCGGATGAGGATGAGGATCAAATGGAGACCAGCGTGTGCAGACGGGGTGACATCAAGTATGCGTGATGAGGCCAGTCAAACTTGGGCCGTTTAAGCCCCGTCATCTTGCATCAACATGATTATTCACAAGCGAAAGCGAGCCTCATGAGCGATGTTCGAGTCGGGAAAGCTCATTCGAGGGCAGGGCTTCAAAAGCAGAGAGCTTGGCGAGGGATGGGCGTGTTTCAGAGGCCGGGCCTGTCGTGTCGATGGCATTTTTGGGCTCAGGAATGGCACTGGCGGTGGGCGGGCCGGGGAGGGCGACGCGAGGTTGAGGTCGGAGGCAGGGCGCGTCCTGAGGCGGCGGTAAAGGCAGAGGCTGCTCCGAGTGGGTGGGTCTTGAGGTGGCAAAGCAGACGGGGCCGAATTGGTCTGCAGCGAGACTGGCGTGGCTGGGCTCTAGCCCAGCGCTTGTACAGACTGTCTTGAGGACGTCGGCTAGCTGGGTGAGTTGTTGTTCAAAATGGGTGCGCTGTTCGCGGAGGGCACGACAAAGGGCCTTCTGCTCCCGAGCACGTTGGGCACGCTCCGTAGCCAGCTGCTGCTCCAATTGACGGGCACGTAATTCGGCGGCATGGACGCGGGCAAGGGCAACAGGAAGCGTGATGCACGCGGCGGCTGCAAGCAAAGCGATCAAAAGGGGACAGGGGTGAGTGTCTGTTTGTGACGCTTGAACAAAACACACACCGATGCCGACCCATGGGCAGTGGGTGGCTTGGTATTCAATCTGAACCCTTCTACTCGCCCCTTCTCCTCTCCTGTCTTCACGCTCTCACCTGCTGAGGTTTCTTCCACCTTTTGATTCTCAGTGGGCCATGGGGCTGCCATCCGTGCGCACGTCCAACGACCCGAGCTAGCAGGCAAGCACCGTAAATGTCAGAAAAATTCGTCATGGCAAAGTGTGCGTTTTTGTGGTGTGCGTCGTGACTGACACACGGACGCAAAGAGTTCTTGCTTTTGTTGAACATCTGTTCACTATAGCCGTTTTACACACTTTTCCCTTTGCTTGATATTCCTTTGCTTTATTTTTTTTTTCTGGAGGTGCGTGTCTGGATCAACGTGGAGAGAGAGAAGAGAGAGAAGAGAGAAGATAGAGATGAAAAGAGAGAGAGAGAGAGAAGAAGAGAGAGAGAGAGAGAGAGAAGAGAGAAGAGAGAAGAGAGAAGAGAGAAGAGAGAAGAGAGAAGAGAGAGAGAGAGAGAGGAGAGAAGAGAGAGAGAGAGTGAGAGGTGTGTTCATCAGGAGAACGGTCAAATGGCAGTGGCGGGTAGGAAAGGAGTCGGGCAGGGTAGAGGAAGCAAGGGAGAGGCAAGAGGGGTTCGGGGAGAGGGCAGAAAGGGTTCGGGGAGAGGGCAGAAAGGGTTCGGGGAGAGGGGTTGCTGCGTGTTGTTCACTGCTGGCGGCGTGCACCTGGCCTCGTTCTTTTGCGATGGTGCTGGTGCTGGTGCTGGTGCTGGATTGACTTGTTTGTGGAGGGCTGGGCTCACGCATGCGTGGTTTTGTCTCTGTGTCCTGCTCATGGGGTCTAGTTGTCGGACCGTGAGCGCTCTTCCACGTCTAATTAACAGCATCATGGCCAACAACAGCCGACAGCTGATTGCCGTCATTGGCGACGAGGTGGGCTTCGACACGCCTCGAACGGAGTGCTGGCTCAGCACCCGCGTCCATCAACGGCTCCTGTCTGGCTTGGCTCATGTCTGCGCGCGGCTCTTGACAGGATACATGCACTGGTTTCTTGCTGGCCGGTGTCGGTGACATCAATGTCAAGCACGAGTCCAACTATCTCGTGGTGAATAAGGGTAAGCATGGCCCTCGCTCCGGCTTGGGGGTTTGGCCTCGTCGACAGGGGTACTCACTCGACTGTGCGTTCCAGACACCACGATTTCTGCCATTGAGGATGCCTTTCGTCACTTTGTGGAGCGCGATGACATTGCCATCATCCTGATCAACCAAATGGTCAGTCGTTGTAGCACGGTGCCGGGAGGCCCCCGTCCGTCTCAAAGGTTCGTCTCACGGGTGCGCACCCTCCTGCTGGCTCAAATAGATCGCGGAGGATATTCGCTACCTTTTGGACAACCATACCGAGGCCATCCCCGCTGTTCTGGAGATCCCCTCCAAGGAGCAGCCCTACGATAGCAGCAAGGACAGCATCTTGCGCCGTGCCAAGGTAGGCGGGCTACGCTACACCGCGACAGGCACGCGAGTACGTTGTGTTGCTTTTCGTTTTCCATAACCAAGATGTGTTGTTGGTCTTTAACAGGGCATGTTCAGCGCGGAGGATTTCCGGTAAACGCCCTTGTGTGTGTCATGCCGCAAGCCATGGGCGCGCGCGACCTCGCCTGGCTCTGGATTTGTAGTCTTGTTTCTTGTGTCTCCACGTCATCTGCTCCCGAGCTCGACATCATCATGGTGGGGCCTCTGTCATTCAATGTCAAACCGGCGGGCATTGAGCCGGGTGGCTGTGACTTTGGGCCGTGTGGTTTGTGTTTCAGGCGGGCCATGTCCAAGGATTGATTGTGATTGTGTCTAGTCTCTCTCTGTCGTCGCCGTTTTTCTACTCGCTTAATGCCCATTTTGTTTTCCGTGCTCGGCTCGGGTCCTGGTTGCTCGAGGGCGACCCAGTGTTGGTGTCCTCCCACATGTTCCCCGGCCGCCACTCGACCCCCACACTCGGTCTTGTGCCAGAGGCCGGGATGGATGATGCCTTCTTTTCCCCGTGGTTTGAGTCGTGGTCTCCTAGGCTTCTGTGTCCCTGCCCTTTTACAATAATAGAGCATGCACAGAATAACATTGGTGATAGCACGAAGAGCGCTCATACCCAGCGCTGGGGGCTGGTGATGGCAACCCATTGCATGCGTTGCGGCAAGGGGGCTGAATTGGGCCTATCATGAGAGGGGGGAGCGAAGAGGAGAAGCAAGGGCAGTGCTGGGTAGGAAGTATTTAAAGTATTTCGGATCACGAGAAGGGCATGAGCAGCGACGCGGGATGCTGGGCCGAGGCAGGCGAGTGCCCGAGATGGGGCGCGCCAAGTTGAAGTTGCTTGGATACCAGAGCCGAGCTGGGCCACTCGCGGGCACGGCTCGTTGTTTTGCGGCATGTCCACAGAGCTGTGGTGAGGTGGTGCGGCGGGTGGGACCACGATGTTGGCGCGACTAATGGTCTAGGTTGCGCTTGGCATCGAGGTAGCGCTTGCGGGAGCGTTCGTAGTGCCACTTGCGATACTTGCGCTCCACATCATGGGCGAGATAGCCAAAGACTGAAGCAACGACAAGGGCGGGCAGAGACGGCGTGAGTCATGGCCCGAGTCGGCGCCATCCGTGTGGAGGCGAGAGGGAAAGCAAAGAGCCACACGAGCATGACGCAGAGCGTGCTGACCTGTGCCAGCGGCAAAGGCGAGGAACAACGTGAAACCCAACGTGCGCGAGCCCAAAGTCACTTCGCTCATGATGCTGCGATCCCAAAGACGATGACCACGGCAACGGCAAACCACCCTGAGAAGCCGAGAATAGAGGAGGAGGGAGGATAGAGGGGATAGAGGAGGAGGGAGGATAGAGGGGATCGAGGAGGAGGAAGAAGGAGGAAGAAGGAGGAAGAAGGAGGAGGGGATAGAGGAGGAGGGGATAGTAGAGGATAGAGGGGATAGAGGGGATAGAGGGGATAGAGGGAATAGAGGAGGATAGAGGAGGAGTCGGAGTCGGAGGGAGGGAGTCGGAGGAGTCGGAGAAGGAGGAGGGCTCAAGTGATCAAACCTGGTTTTGTGCATGAAAAGTGAGAGAAAGATCTCAGGAGAGAGAAAGCCAAGACAGAGAGAGAGAGAGAGAGAGAGAGAGAGAGAGAGAGAGAGAGAGAGAGATGAATTGGTTTGGTCGGTGAGAGAGAGAGAAGTGAATTGGTTTGGTCGGTTTGAGAAAGAGAGAGGAGAGAGAGAGAAAGAGATGAATTGGTCAGAGAGTTGCCTCTTGTCGTATTGTCATCATTTTCCCCTCATTATCGGCTTCTGATCCACAGGTACGAAAAAAAAAAAAAAAGAGAGAATGGTCTTGGTCGTGCGGAGCAGGGTGAGGGGGGCCAGTGCAGTGCAGTGCAGCGGGCATATGGGTGGGGTGGGGTGCATGTGAGTGTGGATGGGGTGAACGTCAATGTG